AAATCAGAATTTTCATGCGCTTCGATGCGTGCTTTTGAGTTTTTCCAGTCACGAAATCCTTCACCAGTAAAAGCATTCATTTCACCACTTCTACCAAATAATAAGCATGGAACACAAAATACAGACCCTTTAGTTCTGAATAAATTAACCACTCACGGCGTTGAATCTCTCCGTTTTTAAAAGTACGTTGAAATAAACTTTTTGAACAATACCTTGTTTTATCACTATAAACATTTCTGGAATTTGAAGTCCGTATTATCATTTCGTGGTATACCGTTTATAGTTATGAAATCCCGTGTTTCTTCATTCAAATTCCATAAAAAGGGATCAGTAGGTTAAATTTTAAAATATCAGTTCTTGACTGGATTTCTTCAGTATCTTGTGATGAAGGAAAATTTGAAGGCGTCTTGTTCGTATCTTGTGAGAGAGAAGGGTGTGACTGTACTTCTTCGATATCTTGTTCTGAAATCTCTAATTCCGGCTAGAAAAAAAATCAATTTAAACAACTGCATTTATTTAATGTTTATCCCGACTAACGTTATATATAAAAAAAGTTATTAGCTATCATAACAAGATACTTACGACCTATAAACATGATGGTTGTTGGTTATTATTAGAAGACTAACTTGAGCTTGTCATAAAACCAGATATTTTTGGAATTTGTTTAAGTAAATTACCTATCTATTTTCATAGATTCTTCTGCTTTTCTTTTACGATATTCTGCACCGCTAAATTTTTTTCGATAGCCACTCATATTTAATTCAAAAATAAAATCAAAACTACCACAAATTATAAAAAAACAGTGCTTAATTTAAAGTTATCAATCAATTATTTTTTTAGTGTTAAGAAACATAATAAAATAATTGGCTTTTCTTTTACGATATTCTGCACCGCTAAATTTTTTTCGATAGCCACTCATATTTAATTCAAAAATAAAATCAAAACTACCACAAATTATAAAAAAAATAGTGCTTAATTTAAAGTTATCAATCAATTATTTTTTTAGTGTTGAGAAACATAATAAAATAATTGGAGACTTGTACACATAATGAGCATTTTAAAACTAAAATGATTGCTATGACTTTTCTACAGCGCGAAGCGCGATGTTTTCTTCTTCTTCTTCCTTGGTGGCTTGACGCCTTAATGGTCTTGGAGACAATGTACCATTTTGACCAGCAGCAAGTGGATTTTAAACTTTTTAAACTAATACACCCATATATGTAGTTATCTCGCATAGTTTTATATTGTTGGATTTTTCCCGCAACCGTGATTAATTAATTAATTAATTTTTTATAAAAAATAATTGAACCAATTTTTGAAATTGATTGTCTTTACTTTTTTTTGCCTCTAAAATTTTGGCACTTCAAAAATTTTGCCGCCCTTAAAATTATGCCGCCCTAGGCCCGGGCCTCACGAGCCTAGGCGTAAATCCATCACTGTTACAGCTACACTCCAAAAATGAATTAGTCAAAAATGACTATTTGTAAAGTGAAAAAGCAGCCACTAATAACTGTAGTCCACAAAAATTCGGGTGACGTTCATAATATCGAAATTCACTTTATCGAATTCAAAATATCGAACACTTTTTATCGAAAATCAAAATATCGAAAATACAAAATGTCGAAAATCAAAATATCGAAAATTAAAATGTCGAAAATGATAATATCGAAATTTTATTTAATCGAATTTTCAATTTATCGAAAATAAAATATCGACGTTCATAATATCGAAATTCACTTTATCGAATTCAAAATATCGAACACTTTTTATCGAAAATCAAAATATCGAAAATACAAAATGTCGAAAATTAAAATGTCGAAAATACAAAATGTCGAAATATTTTCTTATTTTGAATTTGATATTTTGTTTAAATATTTCAATTAATCGACATATTATTTTAATCCGAAGTGTATATGTACAGAGGCGCCTCTGATATAGAAATGTACTCAAACTCAACAACACAACCCAACCGACCCCGCCCCATTGGCCCCCCCCCCGCCCCATTGAGCAAAAAACCCAACTAAAATGGGCTAATTTATGTAATTAAAAAGTGTTTTATTTTTATCGTAACATGAATTTGCCCATTTTACTTGGGTTTTTTGCTCAATGGGGCGGGGGAGGGCCAATGGGGCGGGGTCGGTTGGGTTGTGTTGTTGAGTTTGAGTACATTTCTATAAAACGCGCATCTCTAGGAGCCAGGGAGCCAAGATAATTCGGTGCATAACCGTAACTTTATCTACAGAGGCGCCTCTGTACATATACACTTCGATTTTAATCATACATTTTAATTTTCGATATTTTTAAATCGATATTTTAATTTTCGAAATTTTAATTATTCGACATTTTCAAATCGACATTTTAATTTTCGATATTATCATTTTCGACATTTTAATTTTCGAAATTTTAATTATTCGACATTTTCAAATCGACATTTTAATTTTCGATATTATCATTTTCGACATTTTAATTTTCGATATTTTGATTTTCGACATTTTGTATTTTCGATATTTTGATTTTCGATAAAAAGTGTTCGATATTTTGAATTCGATATAATGAATTTCGATATTGTGAACGTCACCCCAAAAATTCGTATTCCGAACATTTAACAATAAATTCTTATGTAAAATTGTCCGCTGAATCCGAAAGTACCGTCAGTTTTTGAGACAGTCAATTCCATATTTTATAGAAAATACACTACATCTCAAAAACTGTTCTACTTATATAACTTTCGACAACATTTTTGGATTCAACGGACAATTTTATATAGGTATTGACTGCTAAATGTCCGGAATACAAATTGCTATTGACGAGAAATATTAGTGACTGATTTTTTACTATGAAAATTAGGCATTTTTGACTAATTCATTTTTAGAGAGTAGAAACAAGAAAAGATATTCAACCAAGATATTAGGATAACAAGATACAAAGAAAGTATAGGGATGGGATAATTAAGAAATCCATGTGATGGCGGTGGTGAAACTTCGGTACCTTGGATTGTCAAAGTTATAAATGCAGCTTCACTTATCTACTATCTAAAAATGAATTAGTCAAAAATGACTAATTTTCATAGCTAAAAATTATCGTTAACTGCAATTTGTATCCAGGACATTTAGCAGTCAATTCCTATCTAAAATTGTTCGCATAATCCGAAAATTTCGCCAAAAGTTATAAAAGTCGAAGTTTTTGAAATAGTCAATTTTCAATAAAATATGAAATTGACTATATCTCAAAAATACTCTACTTTCCTAATTTTTGAAGGTCTTTTCGGATTCAGGGGAAAATTTTACATAAGAATTGACTGTTAAACGTCTGGTATACAAATTTCTACAGTTATGACTGCTTTTTTACTTTGAAAACTAGTAATTATTGACTAATTAATTTTTAGAGTTTTTAAAATATTAAAATATAAAATATTGCAGATTTCCTTAACAGGGCAACTGTACTTAGAACCTTGTCATTCCAAGGCACCGACTTGTTAAAAGGGGTTATAATAACCAGAAATCGACTAGTAAAATTTCTTAATATTTTGTAGGTATGGTTTAGGTTTTTCATTAAAAGGTCCTATAAATCTATAAAATTTGACATAATTTCAAACGATACGTACTATTCTGGCAAAAGTTTCTGGGTATCAAGTCTATTTTGGGTAAACAAAAAAAAATTTTTAGAGTATCATTTTTTTGCATTTACCAATTTTGTATAATTTTATAAATAATATATGTATACATAGCTTTTTATGTACAGGCTTATTATAATATTTTGTCTTGTTTTAGACATTTACCGTTCTTTAACATCTTTTAAAAGGTTTATATTTTAAAATAAAGGCAAGTCATTTGAAATAATTGTAACGCTATAATAATTATTTCTAATTTGCTATGATAATAACATGCAAAGCAGACTCGGTATGCGGCGCAGAGCACAGAACAATATGCGCAGACTGCGCCGCAGACAACGCATAGCGGAAAGGTGCAGGCAGAAACAATTCGTATGAGTTCAACGCCTTGTTGGAACAGGAGGGTATTCAGGAAAATTTTAATTTAATAAATCGAAGTATAAACAATTAATTAATAATATTATTTATTTATTTAATTTCATGCCTCAATTTTTTTAACATGTGGGTAATATGTTTTTTGCTTACACGTCCAAGCCAATCGAGGGCCCCCCTAGCCGCGGTAGCTACGCCCCTGATGCGCACGCACCTCCTGTATGCTGTTTACAAGCAATGATAAATTTAAAACCGCTCATCTTTATAAACCAATAAAAATAATTGACCAATAATAATAATATATAAAAAGTGAATAAAATCAAAATATATTATTATAATATATATTTATATTATAATATATACATATAATATAATATATACATACTATGGTATGTATATATTATATTATATGTATATATTATAATATATATATTTATAAATATATATTATAATAATATATTTTGATTTTATTCACTTTTTATATATTATTATTATTTACAACGCTATTAACATTTTTAATTCCAATTTTTTCTAATATCATATTTCGAAAACTAAATTAAATTCAGTAAATCAGTGTCGGCTGGTGGATTTTGGGCACACCCATATCTCATTTATTAGACATGGCACCCATCAAATTTATATGAGTTTATAATGACATTATATAGACAAGTTCTGCGCAAGCAGAATTTAAATTGAAGTTTGCGAAAAAAAGTTTTTTAGTGTGCTCCCCAGCCTCCTGCTCCCAGGATACATATAAATTTGATGTGGTTCCCATGTCTAATAACTGAGATATGGGTGTGCCCAAAATCCACCAGCCGCCACAGACTTACTAAATCTGATATTATTCTGGTATTTATCAGATTAGAATATTTAAAATCGCCTAGATTAAAACATTTCTGGTACTAAACCATCAAAACCTTTTCCAATTTTAATTTAAAAACATACTTTAGACATACATCGCGGATTCATGTTAGCAATGATAACTTATCATAAATGATTTAAACTACTATTTATTTACCTCTGCAAGAAATTCGGTGGGGGCCGAAATACTTTCGTCGGCGTCGGTGTACTCGCTCAGGTCCTCATTGCTGCTCGTAGTCGGCTTCATGTATCCCACGTTTCCATTATCCTCTGTTGTCATATTAATATTTGGAATCTGAAACGTAATATCGTTATATAAATATGCACGCTTTATAAAAACTTATTTTTTTATGTTTGCCTTGTAGACAGAAGGATTATATTTCTCGTTTAGAACAGGATATGTCTTGTTCCTGACTGCAGCTTATTTTAATATAGTTCTTTTGTTTATACTCTATTTTTCTATTTCTTTATCAGTGTCGTATTTAGGCCGCGCGGGGCCTATAGCAAATGAGAACAATAGGCACTTGGTTTGGTTTAGGTACAAAAGTTTAGAATATAAAATAAAACACCACTTTTACAAAAAAATCGATAATTATCGATTATAACTATAAAAATTATAATTTATGCCAACATTGTTAAATACCTAGCGTCTAACGGCCCAAACTCAAATGGCAAAACATTAAAATGACAGCCGGCATTATTCACGGGCATGTGATAGTTTTTAGAGACCAAAATGTTTGTATAAATATATTTAATTACACTGTAGGGTATTTCCACGAAACCTTACCCCACCTTGACAAAAAATCAGATGTGTTATTTAACAAAATAACAACCATATCTGAAGTCAAATAGTTTAATCGCTACGTAATTTATAACCTTAAAATATTCGTACATTGTGGTGCTAAGAAGATAACATTAAGAACAAACACGGAAGAGTTTCAATACTCGATAAAATGTTCAAATGTCGCACCCGTTACATATTGAAAAAATTTTAGAAAATAAAGTACCTATACAATATTTGTGCATTTAAAATACGTGCTTGTTTAAGGTTACTATTCAAGTTTTACACAAAAAATTAGTGATTCCCACGAGACCAACGAGACGAGACTTTCATAAAGTCTTGTCTCGTCTCGCCGATAAAATAAAAAGTCTTGTATCAAGTCTCGTCTCGCAGCCTCCAGTCTCGTCTCGTCTCGTTTCTCGTACGAGAGTCTAGCAAAAGTTTCGAAATCCCTTCATGGATAATTTTGTTCCAGTCCAGTAAGGGATGCACTCGAGACGAGACCAATAAAAGTATCGTCTCGTCCGGTCCAAATATCGTCTCGAGTCTCGTCTCGAAAACGAGACGAGACCATGCGAGACTCTCGAAAACGAGACTCTCGTGGGAATCACTACAAAAAGTTAGTACTATATGCTTTCATCCAAAATTTTACAGTCTCAACTTTAGAAGCCAACTTGTTCGCATTAGCCGATTTTCTAAGGTCGCGCTCGTTACGCTATTCATAACGCTATAAAAGGTTTTCTATAGGTACTTCTTTCTATATTTTATTGACATTTTATTTGAGTTAAATACATAATTTTTTATACTATTACTTTATATTAACGTATCTTGATATATATGAACAAACACTTTATTATCATGAAAAAACGCAGTTTTAGTGTCGCACCCGCTACAATGGAAATACCCTGTAGGTAAATTTTTAACTTTTAAAATATCACAGCTATACGCTCGGACACGTAAACAGGTTTAGCTGTATCAGGTCTAAAAAAGTTTTTCTTATTGGCAATCCGATCCAGGGATACACTGTATACTGGTATTATAGATTGTTCCTGTGCTTTTTGTATCGTTTAATATAATATCCTCAATTATACTTCATTAAAAAAAAAACAACAAAAATTTTAAAGATTTTTTTTTTAATTTGGAATGGATGTAGGAGGCAGCCCAATTACATTTTTTTAAATATATATATAGTTTCTTAATTGAATGCTTCAAAACTAAAAAATTAAATTTCTTTAAATTTTGACCTAATACAGCTAAACCAAGAACGGATTTGTAATCTACGATGAAAAATTTGTTTACATGTAGGTACCTACAAGCGTTTAGCTGTGTTATTTTTTACCTCCCTACAGTATGGCACGCCTTTTCACGTTTTAATCGTAAATGTTTTAAATGTAAAAGAAAATTGAAGTAAGTTTTTAAAAATTATGGAATATATAATTTTTTATAATTTTAATTATGTCTGACGTAATAATAACACTGTAGGTAAATTTTTAACTCTTTAAATATAAAAGCTAAACGCAAAAATTATGATTCCAATTCATGATCGGTTTAGCTGTGTCAGGTCTAAAAAAGTTTTTCCTGTCGGAAATCCGATCCGGGGACAGACTGTATACTGTCATATTATAATTTGTAAATTAATATATTTCACCTCTTGTGCCAACATTCTTATGCTTTTTATTTCAATTAATATAATATCCTCCTATACTCAATAAAAAAAAATTAGCAAAAAAACCTTTTGAATTTCCTAAATTATCTTAAAAAACCCTCGGGGACACAATTTGATTTTTTGTTAAATTTATAACCTATCTGTCTCTCTGCTCTCCCTTTTTCTTCAATAATCAATACTTTCATTTTATTTAAGTAATGTTTCGAAATTATTTATTGATGACTGATATCACGATTTTGGTCAGTTAGCGGTTAATAGTAACGAACTAATTTTGAAATGCTGTCAAAAAGCGGTCATCTGTCGGTTATTCTAACTAAACTTTGCTAAGATCTTTTTTTTTTGGAAAACTATTCGAGTTGTATTTCTGAATTGATGCATGAATAATTTTTAGACTTTAGTCTTTCTATTCCGATTAACAAATATTGGTTCGAAATTATTTTATGGTTATTTTTTCCTAGGTGGTCGCCATTCCCCCTCTCTACCCTATTCAACTTCGCAATCGATATACACCATGAACGACAACTTCCCTACATTAACAATATGCTACAGACTTGGTACATTATAATGTACCTATAGGTACCCATAACCACTACAACAGCATCTTAAATGTATGGCCAAAATAGCGACTTGCATCAAGAAACAGTCCTACCACGATCGACACAAACACTAGAGCAATCGGTTACCGATTATTGGTAATGGAAAATACACTAAAACGCAATCTTCAAACAACGACACGACTGAATTAGAGGTAAACACGCAACTCGACAAGTACTTATGCACACTAAATGTGAACGACAAAGAAAGCAAGTCCCCAACCTCAAATAGTAATCCCAAATGTTTGGAGTAATACTAATTCCGTATCGTACGCAGATTTGAGTCGGCGTAATTGTCCCCTGACAACCAACATGTCTGTCCCCCCTGTCCCCACCTCCTTTTGTTCCTAATGGGCGTATAGCAACGGCCTGGCGAATCCGGGAAAAGCCATTCAAACTACTGATACAGTACCGGACGCGGTGGACATTCGCACCCAGCAAACACGGGTAAAGCCGTGCATTTGCAAATCGGCTTACGGTAACGGAGACTCAATATTACTCAATATTATATATACCTAATACATAAATAATACCCGTTTTTGGTCTTTTGTAAAGACTTTCTTAATCAACGCTTTTAATAATTCATCATGCTGTTTGCATTTAGACGACTTATTTGTTTTATGATGTTTACTGAATTTACTGAATTACATAAATCATTAATAAAATGTGTATTTATTGTATCTAATAGGTACAGTGGGGGACACAGAATTTTGAACGTTATAATTTGGTTGTCCATGTATAAATCTGTAAATAGCAAAGAAACAATATTGTCCATTTTTGCTTTCGCTGTCAAAACGATAAGACTAGTGATAACCGGAAGTAAGATTAGTTGTCCATAAAGGAAGTTAAGATTTTAATATTAACTGGACGAAAGCCGTTCAAAATTCCGTGTCCGTCACTGTACAATTGATATTTACAGGGACTGTATGCAATTTATTTCTTCATTCGGATTCACACTGTTTATTGGGAAACCGGTAGAATTTTAACCCCGGATTTTCTCTCGAAAAAACGCCCAACACAACAATTTGTCCCACGTTTTTTTATTTCGATATTTTTAACATTCGCCCTATGCGGTAGCATGAATACAGTACATCAGCTATACACCATAGTGCTGGTTATCAGGCGAATTTTTTGTAAACATTTTTTTTGGCTTAATTAAATTGTTTATTTTATTTTTAAATTGGTATGGGTTTCACACAGAAGATTTTGGGATTTTAAACCTCACCCGAAATACATAGCAAAAAATGTATGGTAAAGTTAAGAAAAACTATTGAGATGATTCTTAGAAAAGTTTTATTTGTTTTAAAATTTGTTCTACATTTTACAACTGCCCACTAAATGTTTTCAACGTTCGTGTATTTCCCGCGACTAATGTCTTCAAGTTCGGCAAACTTGCCGATAAGTATTTGTTTTACTTAAAGTATTCGTTTTACTTATAAGGGACCTTAATAAAGCTTTTAAGAAACTTTACGCGAAAGGATTTTTTATTGTTCTCGCGAGAAGAAAAAAATAAGAAAAAATCCTTTTTGTTTCTATAATGGTAGATCTCGGCTACTCCATTAGTTAGAAAAAACCTTTTAAACTTTTAATTATCAAATGCAATGGAGTTTTCCAAACAAGATCACATTTTAATGCTGGCCCAATTAAAGTTTTAGATAAGTTTGCCTGCAAGCACTCCTCTGGCTTGTATTTAACCATTTACCATTCCTAAGTGGAAGATTAGAAATTTCTGGCTAATAGGTGTCAGGTATAGTCGATAATTATACGAAAGCAATTTCCGCATAAGGCAGTTACCGATTTCGAATGCAATCATACGACATTAATTGATTTTTGGCTAATATCAACATATGGAATTGAAATTAACAAAATCTATTTAGGATGTGCAATTACATTTTGAATAGTAAACGAGGCAATTTTTAAGTGAACATTTTATTACCTCAAATTTAAATTTATTTGATTTAATAGTTCCGACGGTTAGATAAATTACAAGCAACATGCTACGTCATAAAAAAACAAAAAAGCCTTTTGAAGTATGCATCTTAATCGGAAGTAGTTGACTTCGTCTTGGCCCGCTGCCAATAAGCGTGACGGATGTTTGCACCATCATTTGCAACGGTATATTATTGAAATTTTCATTGCCCAATTCATTGTTACTTTAACAAAATAGGAAATTTATGGTTAACCGCATTGATACCTTATAAGTAGGCAATGCCCCAAATACTTAATCACAGCAGTAGCCCTTTAATTGCTTAATA